CAGTGAATGCTATTGCTTATGATTTAGGCATGTCACACCTGATAATCATGATGATCCTCAAAAACAAAGAAAAATTCTCCAAAGTGTTAAAGGATCAATTCCACTGAAAGCTGTAAGACTAAGGAAAATGAGAGAGACCTATATCAGATATGAAGAAATTGCTGGTGACATGGATCGAGGACCAAACACAAAAGTAAATCCCTCGCAGCACATTGACAATCATTGCTAAGGCATGAAGCTTATTCAAGATGCTTAAAGGAAAAGCAGGATCAGATCATGACATGGTGTTTGCACAATGTCCAAATCAATAACATCCTATTTCACAGAATGTATTGTGGATGTTAAGCAATACATGACTGTACTTGAAATAAAAGTTAGACAAAACAAAACTTAACCTTAGTACCTGCTATGAATTCTGGATATTCTGCTTGATTTTGTGTATGTTTATTCAGTGGTGACCCACTAAATGATTGTACAGCTAGCTAATGGGTCCTGTGGGTTCCAGTGAGTCCCAAACACTAAGAAAATACCTGCTGTAAGGCTTTGCTTTGCAGGGTGTGTACCCTGGCTTGCAACTGGAGGTAAGTGCCCAGAACCACAAAGGGGGTTTGGGGGCTGGGAGGAAGGGAGGAAAGAGAAGGGGCTGGCCCCAGAGGAACTTTGGGGAAAGAGAGTGTTAGAGGGAGCTTTGAGATAGGTTTTTCTCTGTGATGTGCCCTGTAAACTTTTTTTCTTTCTCATCATGACAGCTTCAGTCAATCTCCTTCATTCAGTAATGCACAGTGGATTTGAGGGAGGGAGGATGGGAGATGGTTGTGAGGGAGAGAATTGAATGGATTAGAAACAAAAGCTGAGCCTGCTCAATGGATGTATCACATAAATCAAGTTTTGGCAGTATTTAACAAAGTCCAATCCACCTCCCCATATCTTTCTGCTCACCAAAAACCCATCTGTCTACCTCAGATGCAGACAGGACCATTGGTAACAAAAAATATCCCAGTATTATGGCTGCCATCCTTCATGGTCAAGGAGTCCTCAGACCCAATGAAATGCCCTATGCTCCGGGAGCTGGGAAGGCCCTTCCTTTCCTCAGTCTGGAATCTCTATGGATACAGATGCCCAAGGTTGATACTGTTTCCCTTTTTGGTAGGGATAGGGAGCCCATGGAAGCAGCAGTTAAGAAATCAGATGGCATATTGCATTGGATAGATCTGCTTCAAAAGACTTCTTTAAAGTGTTAATGAGCAGAGACGTCACTTTGAAGATTAAGGGGCATCTGACCCAATCCATGATATTGTCAGTGGACTCTATGCATGTGAAAACTGGTGACAATGAATAAGGAAGACAGAAAAAGAATTGATGTATTTGAATTATGGTGTTGGCAAGGAATATAGAGTATACCATGATCTTCCAGAAGAACAAATCTGTTTTGGATGAAGTACATCCAGAATGCGCTTAGAAGTGAGGATGGTGAGACTTCCCCCTCTTGTTCTTTGGTCATGTTGTCAGGAGGGAACAGCATGAGAAGGATATCGTGCTTGGTAAAGTAGAGGAAGAGCCTCGAGGAAGAGCCTCAAGGAAGTGCACTGACGCAGTGGCTGCAACCATGGGCTCAAACATAGCAATGATTGTGAGGATGGTGCAGGACTTGGCAGTGTTTTATTCTGTTGTATGTAGGGTTACTATGAGTCAGAACCAACTCCACAGGGCACCTAACAACAACAGCAGTTATATTTCATGATTTAAAAAAAAAAAAGAGAGAGAAAATTTTGCCCTCACCACTCAGCTCTTCAGACAATCTATCCATGTTATCTGGAGTCCCTGGGTGGTGCAAATAGTTAATACACTTGGCTGCTAACTGAAAGGCTAGAAGTTTGAGTTAACTCAGAGGTGCCTCAGAAGAAAGGCCTGGTGCTGTACTGAAAAATCATCCCTTGAAACCCTGTGGACCACAGTTCTACTCGGACACACATGGGGTCACTATGAATCAGAATCAACTCAATGGAAACCAGTAAATCTGCACTCAGCCCCCTGCTAAAGGAGATTCTTGCCCTCAGGGAGCTTCCTAGAGACAGAAAAACTAACTGGAACAATGAAAGTCAGTGAATCCACCTCTGAATTTTATCTGGAAAACAGGCCATGCTACCATTATATTGAGAAGGACTCTGGACGTCAGGAAGGTAGTGTGGCTTAAACTGGGCCTGGCCATCTGGGTGGTATTTAGTAAGTGGAGAGCAAAGGAAGGATTTTAGCCAAGAGAAGAGCATGAGCAGAAGCTGTGTGGTGGGACTGAGCATGAGGTGCTGGGGGATGGGGGGAGGTGGCAATGAAGAGACCCTGGGATTGAGGAGTTCATAAAAGGTAAAACTGGCTTGAAGAGCCCTTGATGCTACACCCCCTGGCCCAAACACAGGCCATGTGGATGCCACTTATAGCTCAAGGCTGCCTCTTTGGAATGGAAGGATCTTTGCCTTCTTGCAAGAGCAGATGTCTGTTTCACATTTCGTATTTTGCTTTGTTTTGTTTTTCGCTCAAATCATAGGCCCATGTGTGCTCCTAATCCCTGTCCCAGACAGACTGAAAGTTACATCTGCCAAACACATTACATGGGGCACCCACATTCCTGCAGAGACACTTGCTCAATCCCGGCTTTTAACCCTGCCACACCCTACAGCTGCTTTAAAGCCCTGTCACTAATAAACCATTTAGATATGGGGTGGGGGGAGGGTGTGAGGGGTTGTACGCAGGGAGGGGGATGAGAACTCAGGACTGCAGATTCAGGGACTGTGATGTGTGACAATTTGTGAGATTACCACCTCATTCCACTCCCAGCCCAAGAGCTCTGGAATTTGAGAACTTCACCTACCATCACCCAGATGTGCTGGCCACCTGAGACTGTGAGTAACATGTCATGAAGAGTTGAGGAATCTCCAAGTCCAGGCAGGGCTACCAAGTGCAGGCAGGCAAGAATCAGATGTGTTTCCACTTAGTAAAGTAAGTGGGAATCAAGTTAACCATAGATCCTCTGTGTGGCCACAACAAAAGTGTGACTTTTATGAGCAACAAAGCCTAAATGCAAGGTTAAGGATAATAATAATGATGATGATGTTTGTAAGAGTAATAATAAATACAAAGCATCAGGATTAATTCTGTGCCTAATGTTATTTTAAACATTCATTCTTTCCATTAATTCTCACAATAGTTTTATGATGTGAATGCTATTATTCCCATCAGACAGATGAGAAAACTGAGGCTTCGAAGAGTGAGTTGCTTTCTCAAAGCCATACAAATGGTAAATGGCAGAATGAAGATCTGAATCCCAGCAGTCTGACTCAAATATTTGACTCCTATTTCAGACTGTTACTCTGACTCCAGAGCCTGCACTGAGGGAGCTGGTGATGCCCACTTAAGCCTTGTCTGGATATAGAGAGGAGATCCTAACTCATGGATAGAACATAGCAGCCTCTCCTAAAGACCATCTGGTCAATTTTACTTGCTCTGGTTTCTCAGAAAGAAGGCTATAATCCTCCAGCATGACAGCTGTATTTGCTATTAGTAAATTAATAAATTGGCAGCCTAGGTTCACACACAGATCTGTTTCTGAGGATTCTGTTAAGGGAAGCCTACCCCAGAGCTGAAGCCCACCATGTGCCAAATTAGTTGAGATTCCAAGCATGGAAGGGTCAGTCCCCAGCCAGGACGAGTATGCCAAGGAAATCCCTCCTGGCCTCCTGTTGGCAGACTTGGCCAGCCTTCCTAGTGACAGCCTGGCTCTCTGGATTCAAATCAGCTTGGTCAGACTGCAAGGGTCGTCTATAGAAAGAAGTACACGACAGTGCCAAGTTCCAATGTGTGTTCCAAATTCCATGTTCCGTATGCAGACTCTCAGTGCCAGAGTGGAGGCAGGCCCTTGGCAGGGACTCGTGAGGGTTTGTCTGGTAAAATTTTCCTCTACACGTACCTAACTTGGGTCTTCTTAGATCTCACATTCTCTCTGCTCCCAGTAATAGCTCCCAAAGCTAGGGACCAGCAGGGTTACCTAGCAGTCTTTTTAATATATGGATTCCTGAATTCTACTGGCAGAGATTCTGATCCAGGAGGTCTGGGAGCTGACCTGGAAATCTGTATTTCTTAAAGGTTCCCAAGTGATTCAAATGTACATCCAAGTTTGGAAACTGCTGCCCAATGAAAAGACTACTTGCAGCCCTCCCATCTCCCAATTCTCTCCAAGGCGCCATTTGCCTACCAGTACTCTGTGTCTTGGGAGCTCTAGTGGTATAGTGCCTAAGGTATTTGACTGCTAACCAGAAGGCTGGCAGTTCAAACCCACCAGCCACTCCTTGGAAGGAAGGTTGGGCAATCTACTTCCATACTGATACTGCCTCGGAAACCCAAGGACAGGTCACTATGAGTCGGATCTGACTCGACGGCAGTGAGTTTGGTTTTTGGTTTTTTTACTCTGTCCTTTGCAGATTCTTGAAAACCTCCACCTCCAGGCAGCCTTTCTGGAGTGAATCCTGTCTGATAGTGAATTTCTTAGGACTCTCTGCAATCATTCCCCTCCCTGAAATATGTCTATGCATTCCATTGCTCCATTAACTTGACATCTCCTTTCCCTTGCCTTGATATCTGAGTCTCAGGCCATCACTGACTAGACAGCCTCCCAAAATGGTCTGCCCTAACTGCCTCATGAATATTTGAGGACAAAAAGGCAATGTGTGCAGCAGGGATGAAACACTAGTGACCTAGGATCATGCCTCTGTTGTGCCAGGGTGTGACCTGGACAACTTGCCTTCCTTCTTTGCACCTCAGTTTTCTCATTTGTGTAAGGGGTGGATAGATGATGTTTTGACCCTTCCCCTCAGGCTCTGACACTCTCCCACTTCTCCTTGTGCACTCCACAGCTGAGGAAGTAGAACTCCAAGGACACTCCCAAAACTTTGCCCTCAATCACAGAGGGTCGGCCAGCTCTTCTTCCTCCTGCCATCCCAAGAGCAGCCATGGCCCTGAGTGATGTTGATGTGCAGAAGCAGATTAAGCACATGATGGCTTTCATTGAGCAGGAAGCCAATGAGAAGGCGGAAGAAATAGATGCCAAAGCTGAGGAAGAATTCAACATTGAGAAAGGACGTCTTGTGCAGACCCAAAGACTAAAGATTATGGAGTATTACGAGAAGAAGGAGAAGCAGATAGAACAGCAGAAGAAAATCCAGATGTCCACAGTGAGAAATCAGGCAAGGCTGAAAGTCCTGAAAACCCGTGACGACCTCATCTCGGACTTGCTGACTGAAGCCAAGCAGAGACTGAGCAGGATTACTGCGGATGCAGACATCTACCAGGAGCTGTTGCACAAACTTGTGCTCCAGAGTCTGTTCCGACTGCTGGAGCCCCAGGTGCTAGTGCGCTGCAGGCCACAGGACGTCCTTCTGCTAGAGACTGCCGTGCAAAGAGCCATACCTGATTACGTGATGGTTTCCCAAAAAGGTGTGGAGGTCCACGTTGATCAAGAGGTGTACCTGCCTGCAAACTCAGCTGGTGGCTTGGAGGCCTACAGTGGCAATCAGAAAATCAAGGTTTCCAACACCCTGGACAGTCGACTTGATCTCTTGGCCCAGCAAATGATGCCGGAAATACGAAGGGCCTTGTTTGGGGCTAATGCCAACAGGAAGTTTTTTATGTAAGCCCCTGAGAAGTGGAGCTCACACAGAAGTGCTAAACCATCAAAGTATAAGTTATTTGGGTAAAGGAAACTTGTAATGTGTACCACCTCTTTGCTGTTCTGATATTGTTCTATCTTCCTTTATGGAATGTCCTTTGCGTATCAAACAGAATTATAAAGTGTTAATTTTGGAATAAAGCCTGGATTAATGATCAGAAACCTAATTCCAGCTTCTGGTCAGCTTTGCAGTCTGGGATGAAGGAAGCAAAGATGTCTGCTTTTAGTTCAGCCTTGGGGTGAGGTGTGAATGATGTTCTTGGCTGTGGGTCTGAGTGTTTTAAGTTTCTTTAACATGCATCTGAAGTGTTCTTTATCTTTTGTTTCAGTGGTAATATCTGTACTTATGCTATTTCATGAGGTTTAGTTCTTCCTCCTGCGTACAAGGCCAACTTCATGGGCATAGAACTCCTTCATTAGAAGGGCCTGGCGCTCTGTGGTCATTATCTTGAAATTCTTCATTCTCTCTTTGAATGTGTGCTCTGTAGGTGAAGCTTGATGGGACACTGGAGCATGGGCAGAAGCTTGAAATTTCACCTCAGGCCCGGCCCAACTTCCCTGCTCCCCATCTCCCAGGAATGTGTTCTCAGCTGCCCACATCCCTGTCCCTTGACTCCCAGGGCCAGCTGCTCCCCACCTTACCTTCTGCCCCTGGTGATATAGGGAGGATCAGGGTCTGGTCCTCATGCTCTTTGTTTCAAGGCCAGGCATGATGGTGCTTTTCCTGCCCCACCCTGGCAGTGTCATGGTACAGTTAGTGGGAGACTGGGTGAGGGAGAGATTTTCCTCTACCAGGTGCTGAGTACATCCTAGTGTGAAGGCTTAACCATGCTGAGGGAGGGGATCTCCTGACTGTTATGTGTTGGAGCAGCAGGCCCACTAGAAGGGTAGGTGCCTGCCTCAACTTCCCTAAGCACAGGTCTGGGGGCTGGTGGGAAGGGGAGCCCAGCCATTGTCAGGCCCAAACTTACTCCACTCAATTCTTGGAGTAGAGCCCTCTGTTGCCTGTGAGGGTTGGCATTTGCCCTGCAAAGTATCCCCATGCCTGAAGGAGCTTTCCTTGGACCACTCAATGCCCGTGGGGACTTGTGTTCATCAATTCTGGTCAGCTTGAGGCACTCTCTGAGAAAAAGGATAAAATAACAAAGTGTGTAATTTCAATGATTCTGTATACAGGCATTGTGCAATATAAAGATGAGTAAAATTTGTGCTAAAAATTAAAACGTTTTCTTAACTTAAAAAACAAAACAAAACACCAAACTCACTGTCATCAAGTCGGTTCTGACTCATAGCAACCCCCATTGGGTTTCTGAGGCGGTAAGTAGATTGCCCCATCTTCGCCAAACTTTGGTTAACAAACCAGAGCTCCTACATTAAATGGGAAATAAACACAAGTTGAGAGAGTGACTGTGGAAGAAAGGAAAAAGCTTTATGTTTTAGTACATTTAGCTGCACTATTTTTCCTGCTTTTTAAACAAGAGGCCCCACATTTTGTAGCCAGTTCTGCATGTGTATGTGTGATTTAAAGCCTAATCTGTGTCTGAATTTTTTTTTTAAATCAAAATAAAAATTTTGTAGAAAAAACACAAGCAACTCTGCCAAGGACAAAGATTGGACTGTGTGGTTTCAGAAACCCCAGGGAGCTCAAACACTAAGTAGGGGACAGACTATTTATTAGTAAGCAGGATATCTTTCAGAACCTAAGAGCAAGAATCTATCTTGGTCTTAGGCAACGGCTTGAATTGGGAATCAGCTGTCTGAAATCCTCTATATGTTCTTTTCATTTTCTTTCTTTAAGGAGTGGCTTTCTCTACTGTCCATTTTAAATGGTTTCATGTTCCACAATTCCAAAGCTTACATGTGGTCATTCCAGAAACAAACTTTCCTAATAGAGAAATCATTTGGCACACTCAGGTCAGATGTCCACCCATGGTCCAGTTGGTGTCTGGGTTTCCAGAGGAAGTTGGTGTCAATTTCCAGAGAAAGTTTTGTTGGCTCGACAGTCTCCGCAAAGGGTGTCTTCTATGTGGACCATTTTGAGTTATGAATTAAGCTATCCAACAAACATTTTCTGGATGCCAACAACTGCTGGTTGCTGGGCTCAAAGATTATGATCCGGTCCTCTTTAAATTGGTCATAGACATGTAAACAAGTCATCTTGATGCAACATGGTAAGTGTTATTATAGTTTTGTGCAAAAGATACTGTGGGAACACGGTGACATGAAGAGGGGGTCACAGAGGCTTTCAGGGGTGGTGACAATTGAGTTGGGAAAAGCATTCCAGGCAAAGGGGAAAACATGTGGGAAAGGCCCAGGAGGTGTGAAAAAGCAACGTCTATTAGAGTAACTGTGTAACATTCAGTGTGATGGAGTATGAGGTAGGTATGAGGGGAAGTGACCATGAATGAGGCTAGAAAGATGGGTGGAGCCTGATTATATGGTGCTGTGTGTCCTGCTCAGGAGTTTAGACATAATCTGGTAAGTGGGTGATGAAGAATCATTGAGGGACTTTAAATAAGGGTGATGTGACAAGAGCTGGATTTCACAAGATAATTCTAGTTTCATTGTATGTGGAGGACATATTAGCGAGGGAAAAGAGTAGAGCCAGGAGAACTATTGGGAGGCTATTTATCAACACAAGATGATAAAGAACTTTTTCAAAAAATTTATTTACTTTGTTGTTATTGTTGAAAATATATACAGAACACATACGCCAATTCAACAATTTCTACATACACAATTCAGTGATATTGATTACATTCTTTGAGTTGAGTAACCATCCTCACCCTTCTTTTCTGAGTTGCTCCTCCCCCATTAACATAAGTTCACTGCCTCCTAAGGTTTTTTTAATAGTGATTTGGGTGAAAATTTACAGAGCAAATTCACTTTCCATACAGCACTTCACATACACTTTGTCTCATAACATTGACTACAATTTACCACAATGTAGCAGCTCCCCTCCCACTTCCTCCCGATAGTGACTTCTTCTCTGTGTCCATCCCTCCATGCACTCCTGCCCCCTGAGCTGCATAAAGAGCCCTTCTTTCTCCCATGGTTGTTCTCTCCAAGGAGTGTATCTACCTAGTGTAAATGTTCACCTCATATGCCTGTCTTTTGTTTGTC